AAATGTAAAATTAAATGAAGACATGGCTGCTACCACGATTCAAACAGCCTACCGTGGATATTTGGTATGGACTTTTATCAATCCTATTTATTGGGAACAAACAATGTTACAGAAACGAAATAACCAATGAAATGGAAGGCTCATCTTATTTAAAAAATCATTTATTTTGCTTTGTTATGGGGAGAATTTGTATGTGTGCTGCAACAACATTGAACTGAGACGGACTTTTATAATAATCGCTCGATTCTATGTTATGTGGGTTTCAGGCAAGAAGATCCTTGCGAGGCTTGAGAGGTTTGGCGAGGTTGAGAACATTGGTGCAAGGGCAATCTGTTCAAAGGCAAGCAGCTACTACCTTGCAATGCATGCAAACTCTTTCACGGTTGCAGTCTCAGATTCGTGCAAGGAAGGTTAGAATGTCTGAGGAGAATCAGACTCTTAACCGGCAACTGCTGCAGAAACGTGAAAAGGAATTGGACAAGTTGCAAGCTAACGTAAGTAATGTGTATGTTATGTTGAAATTTATGTTATAGGGAGGACATCAATGAGTTATGCAATACAATTGAGATGTATATTTGTCTCAGAATGTGTCTGGTACAATAATATTACTAGTGAATGTGTGTCTTATTTTCTGATTTATCTTATGACAAATTGTTAAGTGTTTCCCCTTTTTTGGTCATTACCCTTTTCAAAACTCATGAAAATATAATTATTGTTATGCTAATGTTCTAAAGTGGCAAATACTTATTCAGCAAATTGGAGAAAAATGGGACGATAGCTCGAAATCAAAGGAGCAAGTTGAGGCAAAGCTGTTGAACAGGCAAATAGCAGCTATGAGAAGACAAAAGGCCATGGCATATGCATCAACACATCAGGTAAGAAGATATTGCCTTCTAGATTTTAATGGAACAAGAGAAACGAGTTTTTGATCCAGTTACATTTTTTTTATGCATACTATCTAAGCCCATGCACGAAGGAGTCCATTTTATTATACTGCACTAATCAATCTCTTTAACAGCAAACAAGGAGGAACTCTTCAAAATCTGCCACAAATGCTACATTTATGGATCCAAACAATCCCCACTGGGGCTGGAACTGGCTAGAGCGATGGATGGCTACTAGGCCATGGGAAGATCAAAACACTACCTACCACATTGGTCATGCATCTGCCAAGAGTGCTGTAAGAAACACCATGTCAGTTGGTGAAATCACAAAATTATACTCTCTCCGTGACCAGAACAATGATGTCAAAACAACCCCAGAAAACCAAAATCCAAAATCCCCTCAAAAAAGAGCCCGAAGGGTCTCGCTAACCAATGTAACAAGGCCAAAGGGACCAAGTGGTTCATGGGGTGGTGAAGGTGATTCAAAATCCATGTTCTACAAAGTCCATGAAAACAATCGCAGGCATAGCATTGGAGTGTCACCACTGAATGATGACGAGATCCCTTCAAGCTCTTCACCTGCTTTCCCAAGTCACACAACACCATCCACCCAGGTTGCAAAGGCCAAGCCATCATCCAAAGGGAGAAGTGCATCACAAAGAAATACAACACCCGAAAAAGTAGCTTCTGCTCCTTTAAAGAAGAGACTCTCTTTCCCTTCTTCTCCAGCCGGTGCAAGAAGGTATTCTGTTTCAACCAGACCTGGAAATGTGGCTTCCAACAAGAGTGTTGCTAATGGTTCCACCCCTGAAGAGAAAATGAGAGTGAGAAGGTAGAGATGCATCATGCATGCCATTGGTGTACTTAGAATAGAAACATGAACAAAGATTATTCAAATTACAAAAGGTGGCACCAATATCTTTTATAGTAGTCTCTATCAACTTTTTCTTCACAAGCCATGTTGTTGGTGCAATGGAAGGAGATGCAATAAAATTTGACTGATCAAGTATTCATTTGATCCCCACAGTTGTCTTTATAACCAATGCAGACAACTTTTTCTTTTACTTTAACTGACTGTAGTAGTTCCATGTTATATATGTAACAAGATTAATGCTTTTGGGGGCGATATTTATATATACATTATGTAAACATGTACTGTACTACATTGTTTATCCCCTTTGTAAAGTACTCATGAATTCAAGACCATATGGTTCAAGATCATGTTGTATCTACTCTTCATTCCATGTTATGTTTTTGAGAATCATATGTTTGGAATTCAAAAATGTATTTTTTATTTTGAATTGATAAAATATATATATATTTTTTAATTATAATAAATTTTTATTAAACTGAAAAAGTAAAGAATGAACCAAATTTTAAATTTTTAATTGAAATTTATGGTGAGAAAAAATGAGGTGATGTGAAGAGTGGACGTGACAATGATGCGGTGGCAGTGGTGGTCAAAGGATACCAACAGCGACCCATTGGATTGGAGATGGCGGTTTTAAGAGTGCTAAACCAACGGTGTGATCTTGATAAAGGTTTTAGGTGACATGAACTTTGTAACTATGATTGTTGGAGAGTTTAAAGGTAATGGTTTTCAGAATATTAATGACATTAATTCTTGCAACAAAATTGCTTTTTCATGGATTCTCCATCACCATGTCAGCGAGCATTTTCACTGATTTTATTTTCTTATGTTAAATTAGAGTTCAAGATTGAGTAAAGTAAAACTTTTTCTTTTTGTGAGTTTCATTTTCTTAATTATCTGCATAATATCTTTTACACTAAATAATAACTGTTAAAAAAGCGTCTTTGCCCTGTTTTGTTTGTTTCGATAAAAAAGTTAATTCAAAGTTTAAATTTAATATTTTTTTATAAAGTAAAGCTAAAATTATCATTTTTAATTAGAAAAACCACTCAAGAGAGAATTAAGACGTGGAAAAGGAGAAGATAAAAAATTATTGAAACAAATTTCATCTAGTTTTTCCTTTTTTTTTCTGTAAAAATTATCTTCGTTTAAAAATATTTTATTAAAATTCACTAATGCTGAACTAATACTACTGTACATTTGGATTCAAGAAGATAGAATTAAGAGATATCTCCTGTTCGGATGGCCTGATTTGAAAGTAAAAACACGAAAAGATTTGAGAGATTGTCATCTTCTCTCGTCTCTCGTCTCAGCATATTAGGATGTGATGTTTTTTTCTGTTTAATAAAAAAATAAAAATAATAATAATAATTATTTTATATTACTTTTATAATTATAGATATTTTAATAATTTTTAACTTTTATCAATTAAACAATTATTTATTTATTTATTACATCTCTCAAATTTTACGTTAATTTCTATAAATTTTACTTCCAAATTTATTCTCAAATCCTTTTATTTACTCTTTCAAATTAATTCTTTAAAATAAAAACATCCTAAAAAAGTAAAATAAACATAAACGAAATATTACCAAAAAGATATAATTTCTCTTGTCAAGTTACAGTAATGATTAATATATATATATATATATATATATATATATTTAAATTTGATTCAATTCCACCTATATCTTTTTACTCCAACAAAAGGTATGAAGGAAACCCCACTAAAATTATTAGCTTGACAGGATTGGTGATTTTGATTTTCTAAAAATGGCTCAAGGTATTATCAACAATTTACATAAAATAAATAAATATAATATTTCAATACATAAGCCACGAAAAAAAAATGATTGCTAACAATCTTCAGCCACAAAAGAATAAATTTTTAGGAAAAATATTTTTATTAGTATCTCGTAAAAGATAATTCTTTATTTGTATTTAAAATTCTTACAATTTGAAAATTTAGCACCGTATATGCAACCATCGAAAGAAACTCTCTGGTGGGTTTTAATGTGTGGTTAACTGCAGAAGAGATAAAGACTCAAAATTTGCAATTGTCCAATCAAAACTCGAGTGTGTGATGACTATTGGCAAATACAAAACCACTTGGCATGAACTTGGCCATTAAAATTTTTCTCAACATAGTGTATAATTAATAATAATAATAATGAATAAATAAATAAATAAATATAATATATTTGAACAAGTCATTCATACAAGTTGTGCTTTCAAATAAGCATCTTGGTGTGTATATGTGTATGTGTCTTTTGCCTTGTTGCTTTGCACCTGTTCAGGCTCCGCAATGACTGTTCATTCTGCCATTAAAAACAAGCATGAGTTGAACCATTTCACTTCAAATTTCATTTCATAAAGTAAGTTTTATATAATGCATCGTCAATAACAAGAAGGGTCACAACCCTTCAGTGGTGTCTCCAATTCTCACTCCTACATGGCCTTGCGTCAGCTATTATCCATTCATCGGCATTCATTATTCATTATCCAAAACACAATAAAAAACCTTTGAAAATTTCAGCCCAGGTGTTATTAGTACAGTCTATATAGAGATGTTTTTTTTTCTTTGGTAAGAAAGGGATACATATTTATTTTGGTCATACATGGCCATGTGAATACTCTTTTAACGTTTTAACTACAAAGCTTAGAGTAGAGTAGTGATGATGTAGTGTTGTACACAAATAACAAAAGAATAAAATGTTGCTAACACATTTTGCATAACGGCCCATAATGGTATAAGAATACCATGTTAATGTAAGAAAACACACTTTCTTCTATTTATTGGAAGTTATAAATAAGATTTATTAAACATAAAATAAGACTTCAAAAATTTATAATTCTTAATGGATTCATGATAATAATAATAATAATAATAATAATAATAATAATAATAATAATAATAATAGTAAATAACTTGTTTATAAAAAAGAAGTGCATGTAAATTATGCATTTGATTTTTGTTGCATTAAATGGTCTTAATTTTTCTGTGAAAAAAAGCAAAAAAAAAAGGAAAATAAACTTGCAGTTTCTGTTCTTTGATTCTCATTGTGCTTATTGCTTACTTAATGCGCTTCTTCCTCTGCCACCCATATCAGTTTTTTGCGCAAACTTTGTCCTAAACCTGGGCTTGATGCTCTTTGTCCCTTGTCTCAATCTTATCCAAATTCTTCCCTTCAATTTTTTTCACTCTTTCCTTTCTTCACCACATCATCTTTCTTCTCTGTACCAAAATGGGTATAATCTAGAACCGAAATGTGCAATCTTTATTGGTCCCGTCTTAAGAGTGGATTATTTTCCATCTATATGCTCGATTGGGTCATCGTATTAACAGCTTGACATTTCTCTGTTGATTTTAGTTCTTTTTGTAACTTTTTTACTTTCAAGTTTTCTTTCTGATAAGGGTGTAGAAAAAGGCTGCGACTTTTTCAAAGGGTTGATTAGAAATGGTGTAAGGGGGCGACCCAGTTGAGTCTTTTTTCAATTCCGTTCAGGTTGTGAAGGAATCGCTGTTGCCACTGGAAGTGGGTTTTCGGAAGGCGGCGAAGGATCTTGAGCATTGTTTGGCAGGGCCAAAGAACAAGGTCAATGGTGTTTATTTGATTGCCCCACTGAGGGAAAGTTGTGAATTTCAGATCTGTGATGTGAAGAAGAAGAAGGGGTTGTCAATGAAGGTTCCTATGAAGGCTTTCTGGGGCATGTTTTCACAGAATTCAGGGAATGGTGGTGGTGGTGGTGGTAATAGAGCTCAAGTGGGTAAAGAAGACGGGCCCTCGTGCACCAATTGTTTGCAGTTTGCCGTGACTTGGTCTTTATTGCTTAATGGGTTCCTTCAGTCTCTGCCACTTCCTTTCAAATCTGGAAAGAAGAAGTGTCATAAAGTGTGTGATGAAGATAAGCCGAATTCTTGCATGAGGTCCACTGTTTCATCATGTGATTTGAAGCAGGATGAATCCAAGGGGGTTCAGTTTGGTAGAGCCCTTTGGGAGAAGGGTGTGAAGAGGAAGGATGGGAAGCATGTTTCACTTGATTGCGTTATAGGTTTTATTTTTGATCAGTTATCTCAGACTATTCAGAGTCTTGATCATGGGGTGCAAGAAAATCACGATGACCTTGACTCTGGGAAACCATGTCTGCCCCAACCTTCTTTTCCTCATTTTGGTAATGTGAATGCACTTACAGGTTTCTTGGAGGAGCACAAAGTATATGTCAATGGTTTCTTGGGGAATTTGAGGTTTGCAAAAGTGGGTGGTGTACCATCAACCGTGCCTGGAGAAGAAAGCCCTTCCACGAACGGGGAGGGAGATAATAGCAATAGTAATAATAGTTATGGTAATGGTAGCGGTAATAATGAAAACAAGGATGAAAACGGAGGAAATTCGCCACAGAAGGTTGCCAGCAACATATTCAGTATTCCCCTCTCAAATGTGGAACGTCTAAAGTCTACACTTTCCACAGTTTCATTGACAGAATTGGTTGAACTGCTACCACAACTGGGAAAAACTTCTAAAGACCATCCTGATAAGAAGAAACTAATCTCGGTGCAAGATTTTTTTAGATACACAGAGTCTGAAGGTATGTCATATTACATCGGATAGGAATTTTATTATTTTCCAAATTTGCTTGCATAAGATACCAGCATACTCTTCTAAATAACTGCAGTTAACGATTGTTAAAACATGGAGTCGATTGGAATTAGGATTATGGTGTAATCAATTATTTAAAAATGTGAATTCATTTATTAGAATATACTTGTACATGGTAATAGTATAGAACATGCTGCTGGTATGCATGGACGGGGGAGGGATATATGAGAAATCTCTTTCGGCAAAAACGAAAGTATAGGTTAGGTACATTTTTAATCGTTAAAGGAACTGACATGAATTCTCTGATTCATGTAAAAGATATTGCCAATTAGCTCTTACTTTCTGTTCCTAGGTATGGCAGGGATGTAATATTAATGAGGGGTATAATATAATTTGAGTAAACAGTAATGTAAGTTAGTTTAATAAATCTGCTTATGGTTTTCAAATGCAGGGCTTTGATTATCTTTGTTTTTAATAGATTTGATTTTTGGAAACGTGAAGGAGTGAAGATTAATTAGGAATCATAGGAATGAAATATGGAATGCTAGGGTTGTGTTGTGGCCTAGGGTAGACTAATTCATAGATGAGAAGCAATATTGTGAATGTCAATAGAGAAGACCTTGCGAACATTTTAAAAAATGTTTTCAAAATTTTATCATCAGCGTTTCATTTCGTTTTTACCCCCTTATCAGGTTTTAAACATTATATTACAAAATAGCTTTATAAAACAAAAACCTAAAACCACAATCAAACAGGAACTTATTTTTTCTGGACTAGTGTTTGGGCATTGCGGTAATNCGAGGTTGAGAACATTGGTGCAAGGGCAATCTGTTCAAAGGCAAGCAGCTACTACCTTGCAATGCATGCAAACTCTTTCACGGTTGCAGTCTCAGATTCGTGCAAGGAAGGTTAGAATGTCTGAGGAGAATCAGACTCTTAACCGGCAACTGCTGCAGAAACGTGAAAAGGAATTGGACAAGTTGCAAGCTAACGTAAGTAATGTGTATGTTATGTTGAAATTTATGTTATAGGGAGGACATCAATGAGTTATGCAATACAATTGAGATGTATATTTGTCTCAGAATGTGTCTGGTACAATAATATTACTAGTGAATGTGTGTCTTATTTTCTGATTTATCTTATGACAAATTGTTAAGTGTTTCCCCTTTTTTGGTCATTACCCTTTTCAAAACTCATGAAAATATAATTATTGTTATGCTAATGTTCTAAAGTGGCAAATACTTATTCAGCAAATTGGAGAAAAATGGGACGATAGCTCGAAATCAAAGGAGCAAGTTGAGGCAAAGCTGTTGAACAGGCAAATAGCAGCTATGAGAAGACAAAAGGCCATGGCATATGCATCAACACATCAGGTAAGAAGATATTGCCTTCTAGATTTTAATGGAACAAGAGAAACGAGTTTTTGATCCAGTTACATTTTTTTTATGCATACTATCTAAGCCCATGCACGAAGGAGTCCATTTTATTATACTGCACTAATCAATCTCTTTAACAGCAAACAAGGAGGAACTCTTCAAAATCTGCCACAAATGCTACATTTATGGATCCAAACAATCCCCACTGGGGCTGGAACTGGCTAGAGCGATGGATGGCTACTAGGCCATGGGAAGATCAAAACACTACCTACCACATTGGTCATGCATCTGCCAAGAGTGCTGTAAGAAACACCATGTCAGTTGGTGAAATCACAAAATTATACTCTCTCCGTGACCAGAACAATGATGTCAAAACAACCCCAGAAAACCAAAATCCAAAATCCCCTCAAAAAAGAGCCCGAAGGGTCTCGCTAACCAATGTAACAAGGCCAAAGGGACCAAGTGGTTCATGGGGTGGTGAAGGTGATTCAAAATCCATGTTCTACAAAGTCCATGAAAACAATCGCAGGCATAGCATTGGAGTGTCACCACTGAATGATGACGAGATCCCTTCAAGCTCTTCACCTGCTTTCCCAAGTCACACAACACCATCCACCCAGGTTGCAAAGGCCAAGCCATCATCCAAAGGGAGAAGTGCATCACAAAGAAATACAACACCCGAAAAAGTAGCTTCTGCTCCTTTAAAGAAGAGACTCTCTTTCCCTTCTTCTCCAGCCGGTGCAAGAAGGTATTCTGTTTCAACCAGACCTGGAAATGTGGCTTCCAACAAGAGTGTTGCTAATGGTTCCACCCCTGAAGAGAAAATGAGAGTGAGAAGGTAGAGATGCATCATGCATGCCATTGGTGTACTTAGAATAGAAACATGAACAAAGATTATTCAAATTACAAAAGGTGGCACCAATATCTTTTATAGTAGTCTCTATCAACTTTTTCTTCACAAGCCATGTTGTTGGTGCAATGGAAGGAGATGCAATAAAATTTGACTGATCAAGTATTCATTTGATCCCCACAGTTGTCTTTATAACCAATGCAGACAACTTTTTCTTTTACTTTAACTGACTGTAGTAGTTCCATGTTATATATGTAACAAGATTAATGCTTTTGGGGGCGATATTTATAAATATACATTATGTAAACATGTACTGTACTACATTGTTTATCCCCTTTGTAAAGTACTCATGAATTCAAGACCATATGGTTCAAGATCATGTTGTATCTACTCTTCATTCCATGTTATGTTTTTGAGAATCATATGTTTGGAATTCAAAAATGTATTTTTTATTTTGAATTGATAAAATATATATATATTTTTTAATTATAATAAATTTTTATTAANGGGATTTTTTTTTTATATTTATCCATGATAAGCATTAAACATAAAGTGCATCACTAATCCTTTATATATTTTTGGAGGTAGGAGGAGGGTGGATAAGTGCCATCACTATACTGTTAAAAAGCCTTGCTTGTGAGGATATTTACTAATGATAGAAAAAATGAATATATGGAGAAAAATAGAAAATAATATACCTTTCAAAACAGACTTAAGAAAAAGGGGAGCTATAAGCAACAAAGGTCAAAATAAACCATGGAGAATAACCTGGTCAAATATTTCTTAAACTTTAGCTTTTAACCTTGTCAAATAACATTGTTTATTCGTATAGCTGACATCACCTAGTAGGATAAGGCTTCATTGTTGATTGTCAGGCCTATGGTCTAACGCCCAGTTCCAAACTTTGTAAAATAGGAGGACTGTGTTACTTCATCAGCAGCCGACATAAAACTTCTCAAAATCTGAAACATGGATTACTCACTGTAGATTATGGCCTTGTCTGAAAGATCTTTGTTATGAAACTTATAAGAGTGGAAGCTCTTTGTTATGAAACTTTGATAAAAGAACTTCGAATAATTTTAAGAAGTGGGGGGAACAACTGATCACTTATAGGAGTGGAAGCTCTTTGGTACAAAACTTTGATAAAAGAACTTCCAATGATTGTAAGATGATTCTATTCTTACTAAAAAAATACAGGGTCTTGATCTTTTATATTTGTTTTAAGAGCTGTAATCAGAAAATCTGGCAAGCAGTCAGTGGTTAAGATTCAGTTAATAATTTAATTTCGTCAATGTTCAACTACTACCAGCAGTCAATGATTAATGATCCTCTATATTCATGACTATTTTTGTTATACTTTCAGGAGCATTTGGTTTGAAGCTGCAACTGTAGTTGCTGTTCCACCACCTGTTGAAATTCCTGCCGGAAGTGTGCTAAGATCTGCACTGGCAGGTGGCCTTTCCTGTGCCCTGTCTTGTGCCTTACTGCATCCAGTTGATACAATTAAGGCATGTTCTTGAACTTTGATGAACAATTCCCTATTCCTCTCATAGCCATTTGATTGTTTTGGCTCCTTTTAGAGGCCTCATCGTTGTCTTATTTGGTATATTAGACTCGAGTACAAGCATCAACCATGTCCTTCCCTGAAATTATTTCTAAGCTGCCAGAGATTGGAAGGCGGGGTTTATACAGGGGGTCAATCCCTGCAATTCTTGGACAGTTTTCAAGGTTGTTCATTCAATCTCTTTTCAATGTTTCTCTCTCACTTTCCTGTGTTTTGAAATTCAAGCTTATGCCACCTTTGATATTGCAGCCATGGCTTGCGAACTGGGATATTTGAAGCAAGTAAATTGGTGTTGATAAATGTTGCTCCAACACTGCCAGAACTCCAGGTAATTTGTAAAGCTTATATGATGTTATTTATAGCCTGGGCTACTACTGAATATGTCTTCCTTGTATTAGTTAAAGCCGTTACTTCAAAAGATTTGTCCTGCACTTTGATAGTCCTTTAAATGTGAATTTTACATTTGGAGGTTGATAATAAGTTCATTATGTTGTTTAATAGGGTCTTCTTTGTTGTGTCACTTAACTAAATACAAAAGTTTTAAATACGAACCCTTTTGTAGGTACAATCAATAGCATCATTCTGTAGCACATTTTTAGGAACAGCTGTGCGGATCCCCTGTGAGGTGTTGAAGCAAAGGTTACAGGCTGGTCTTTTTGACAATGTGGGTCAGGCTTTTGTTGCAACTTGGGAGCAGGATGGTCTTAGGGGCTTCTTTCGTGGAACCGGAGCTACCCTGTGCCGTGAGGTTCCATTTTATGTCGCTGGCATGGGGCTTTATGCTGAATCTAAAAAGGTGTGTAACTTCCATGATTCAGCATATCAATGGTATTTTCATTTTAAATGAATGTTTATATTCACCCAAAAGAAGATAAACTGAGTGTTGTGGTGTTGGCCTTTGATTTTAGGTTGTTGAACGTCTACTAGAGCGGGAACTGGGTCCCCTGGAAACAATAGCTGTTGGAGCTTTATCTGGCGGCTTGGCGGCTGTGGTGACAACACCGTTTGATGTGATGAAAACTAGAATGATGACTGCGCAAGGGCGGTCTGTGTCAATGTNTATTCCTCTCATAGCCATTTGATTGTTTTGGCTCCTTTTAGAGGCCTCATCGTTGTCTTATTTGGTATATTAGACTCGAGTACAAGCATCAACCATGTCCTTCCCTGAAATTATTTCTAAGCTGCCAGAGATTGGAAGGCGGGGTTTATACAGGGGGTCAATCCCTGCAATTCTTGGACAGTTTTCAAGGTTGTTCATTCAATCTCTTTTCAATGTTTCTCTCTCACTTTCCTGTGTTTTGAAATTCAAGCTTATGCCACCTTTGATATTGCAGCCATGGCTTGCGAACTGGGATATTTGAAGCAAGTAAATTGGTGTTGATAAATGTTGCTCCAACACTGCCAGAACTCCAGGTAATTTGTAAAGCTTATATGATGTTATTTATAGCCTGGGCTACTACTGAATATGTCTTCCTTGTATTAGTTAAAGCCGTTACTTCAAAAGATTTGTCCTGCACTTTGATAGTCCTTTAAATGTGAATTTTACATTTGGAGGTTGATAATAAGTTCATTATGTTGTTTAATAGGGTCTTCTTTGTTGTGTCACTTAACTAAATACAAAAGTTTTAAATACGAACCCTTTTGTAGGTACAATCAATAGCATCATTCTGTAGCACATTTTTAGGAACAGCTGTGCGGATCCCCTGTGAGGTGTTGAAGCAAAGGTTACAGGCTGGTCTTTTTGACAATGTGGGTCAGGCTTTTGTTGCAACTTGGGAGCAGGATGGTCTTAGGGGCTTCTTTCGTGGAACCGGAGCTACCCTGTGCCGTGAGGTTCCATTTTATGTCGCTGGCATGGGGCTTTATGCTGAATCTAAAAAGGTGTGTAACTTCCATGATTCAGCATATCAATGGTATTTTCATTTTAAATGAATGTTTATATTCACCCAAAAGAAGATAAACTGAGTGTTGTGGTGTTGGCCTTTGATTTTAGGTTGTTGAACGTCTACTAGAGCGGGAACTGGGTCCCCTGGAAACAATAGCTGTTGGAGCTTTATCTGGCGGCTTGGCGGCTGTGGTGACAACACCGTTTGATGTGATGAAAACTAGAATGATGACTGCGCAAGGGCGGTCTGTGTCAATGTCCTTGATAGCCTTCTCTATATTGAAACATGAGGGACCCCTTGGCTTGTTCAAAGGAGCAGTTCCAAGGTTCTTTTGGATTGCACCTCTTGGTGCTATGAACTTTGCAGGTTATGAGTTGGCAAAGAAGGCTATGAACAAAAATGAGGAGGGCAAGGCAGGGAATTCAGATTAACATCTTCAGTAGTTTACCTGGGATTTTGTGTTACAGCAGCCAAATGTCTGGTAGAATTTTTGAGTTTACTGCAGTGATCAATGGAATAAGGTCATTGATTCTGCTCTCAAATACACATTTTGTTTCCTTTCTTCATTTTCTACTTTTATAAGATTGCCTTTTGTAGCAGCAGAATCAAAAAGTATATTCTTCGTATATTTGCAAACTAAAGGTTCAATTTTATTTCTTCCTCTACTGTACAGATTTTGGTCCTTTGTATCTTTCTTCAGCTCTCATTTTTTATTTTTTTGTTGGATCAGTTTGTCACCACAATTTTTAGTTTTTATTGCAAGTCTTCCATTTTTTTGGAATATAATTCTTGCGGTTGAGAATGGAACAAAAAGCTTGTTTGGATATAAATTTACGTTTACACTAAGATCACATGACTGCATGAAATTAGTTCATGATGCAATAATTTTGTTTTGTTTTTCTGTTAGACATGGTTACGAGATTAGTTCTTCATGTAAGTACCTGTCTAAAATTTCAAACTTCAGACATTACTCATGAATTTTGTATAAATTTGGTTTGGATGATTCCATGGCGAGAATATTTAGCAAAAAATCCAAGTTTTACTTTTGAAAAATAATATTTAACTTAATTTAGATTTAGTCCTAAAATTGTGTACTCTAGTGTGTGAAGCTAAAATAAATACATATTTTTGGTGACGTGTTATTCGACGTCGTTTGGAACAAAAATTTCTGATTTATTCTTGTATATTAATTCCTTAAATTATTAATGACTGACCAGTTTTTGTTTCCTTTATGCTTATTTGATAAAGGAGAAAAATGAGTGAAACCGAAATAGGTTGAGGTATTTCTGAACGAGTGCTTTTCATAAGTCTTGAAAAAAATAAAGAAAAAAGACTAATTCCTTCATAAAACTAATATGTTTTATGAAGTTTACAAAATATTTTTTATACATAAACTAAATTTATGAAAAACATGGCTAAAGTTTTTTCTCTTATTTTTTCTCTAAGAAAATGTTTGTGAAAAAATTGGTCCAAATATACTCTTGATAAGCTGGGAATAAATAAGAATAAAATAAAAATAAAAATTAATTAATTGAATAGAAATAGAAAAAATATAAAAAGGATAAAGAGATAAAGAGAAATATATGAAAAATACTAAATTTTTTTATATTTTAAATAGTACAGTGAATCCCATTTTTTTAAAATTATTTATATAGTACTTCTCTGCTGCAGACTCCCTATATTAGTTCTATCTTCACCCATCCCTCTATAATAATTCCCAAAATACTAAATGACAGTGAGAAAAAAAAAGGGAGATATAAAGTGTTAAAAATAATTAATACTCATCTATCTTCTCTCTGTTTATTTTTTTTATCTTTTAAAACAGATTACATTTACTATTTTTTTAGAATTTTCAAAAGATTCTTAACACTGTTTTTTCTAAATTTAAACTATCATTCACTTACCTTATTTTAATGAATTGATACACCCCTTTATTTAGTTTAATAAGTGACATAGGTGCAAGATAAAAAATGTGCTCTGTTTTAATGAAAGACAACAGGACTCTTTACACTCCCCATCCTATGATTGTAAGAAAAAAACATCTGAACGTTATAGAAAAAGAATTGCACAATTCGATTTTGTTTCTTCTATATGTATATTCGAAGTTTCACATCGACTAGAAATAAGGTCAAATTATAATATATAAGTGAGGTGTAAACCTCACCTTACAAGCTGGTTTTGTGAAGTTGAGTTAGGCTTAAACCTGCTTTCTAATATGGTATCAGAACCATGGGTTAAGTTAGGCTTAAAAATCCTTTTGTTGGGATAAGTTAGGCTTAAAAACTCACTTTCTAATAATGTATTATGTGTTTGTTCTTTATGCTTCTCTCGAGATTTTATGTTTTTGTGATTTTGGAGAAGAGATTGTTGTATTGAAGTTACATTCTGATGTTCTGCGAAAAGAATGTAGAGTTTCTTTAATACACTTTAGAAAGTACAGGTATCGTTTGAGAGCTGAAAAAATAATTAGTACAATCAATTGTATGAAAAATAAACTTGATAAGAACTTTTCTATGAATATTTGACCCAGGAGAAAATGTAAGGTTAAGAGAGAGAAGAAACAAAACGTGAAAGTGCTGTATCTGTGAATATATGAAAACAGAAGAGGATATGACAGCTATAAAAAGAGTTGAATGGCGTATGTAAACGATGGAGAACCATGCAACAGAAGAAACGATCCTATACTAACAGAAAATAGAAAGGTAACGCATAGACATTCCTTAAGTGAGAAAATAAAAATACAAGTGAAACACCACCTAATCTATATTCATAAAGATGAGTTACTTTTAATAGTTAATGAGGCGAATGTTTCCTCTTCTGTTTCAGCAATCAATGGTCACCTTCGTTCATGCATGATAGAACAAATTATATTCTGCTAGTCATTCCGATAGATGGAGTATTGGCATTTCACATTACCAAACTATACCTATTTATCTATCATTCTTATCAACAGTACAAATCCCATGTAACATTTTAACCCGAATCTGTCGACCTATGGAATATCGAGCTGAAGTATAATGCTTGATTTGATGATGCCATCAAACTTTTAACATAAATTAAAATCTCTTTAACGGGCAGACATATTTATAACGACAATCGCAGAGTAGCGTTTTCTTGACATTGTCTCGGAACGGAAACCACAAGATATCAGTTTCTTTGGACAACCAAAGCTGCACTTTAAGGTGAAATCGTATGTGATTAACTACAGTACCACAAAAAATTCGACACTGTATATCAAAAACCTTTTAACTGAAAAAGGGAACCGAGTTACAAAGAAATAGATGTAGTTGTTTTTATTGAACCAGCAAGGAAAACATCAAATTCTGACGTTTTGCTAATTGAAAATCAATAGCCCCAGTTATCATTCCTGATCTCATCATCGAACTTCTTTCTCAGCTCGGGATGCTTTTCGAAGTACTCATCGGCCGTCATGGTACTGAGCTTTTTCTGGGAAAAAAAAGAAAAAAAAGTGAGAATTTTATTAAAAATCCTATAAAACTGTGAAATCTATGAGGCTATCTATTACCTTCAACTCTTGTACATCAGCAATTTCCTTTTCCAAACGTTCAGACTCCTTCAGAGATTTCTCTTCTGCTTCTTTAAGCTCAATCAACTGCAGCCAAACAACAGCAAACATAATAAATCAGGAAATTATAATTGTAAATGTAATGTATGAGTAAAAATGTTTTTTAGGACGTAAGAAATTTAAACAAAATAATAACTAACAATTTGACTAAGTTCTTACCAGGGAGTCAAATTTAGCCTTATACTGAGGAGTTACTGTGTCAACAAACTTGGGGACCTCAATGCCTGCAAAACAGGGCAAGGGCATCAAACCAAACAATAAAATTTGAATTAATGGTAGGTAAAAGAGTAAATTTATAAAATATTGGTTGTGAACACGCACATATATGGGGCATATCAAATTAATTTAGACCATCCAAAGCAAGGTAGAATTGTCATGATTACTTTTAAGAAAGTGAAATTAAGCCTAATTTAACTTCACAAAAACCAACTCATCCACACACACACATATATATAATCATGATTCAACCTTATATCTAGTCTATGTAGGCTCTTCAACTTACTCCCAAATGCCAAGGGTTCAACATCTCGGGCATGGGACAAAGGCGAACACAATATATCCAACAAACTTAACTAGGATAATTTGGCATTATTTTTAATCAATGCAGGCTCTTCAACAATTACATTAACCTCTCAAACTATCTCACTTGATAGACTACTTGTATAGAGACACACACATACAGGAATTCAGTGAGATTTTCAATAAAAAAAAATCAAATGCATGATCCATTCCACAATAGCTCATAATATAAGGAAACTACAGGGAAAGGCTTATGCGTATTTTGAATAGTGGCTACAAGAATTAGAAATTGATGAGATATTATATCAAAATCAAACTGCATCCATTTTCCAAATCCAAGTCCCTAGTACATAGGTATATTTAAATGTGAAAGGGGAGGCAAAATATCGCCACAGCTGAGTAGCATATTGTTTCGTATGCTCTTCCTTTTACAAATTGTGATTCAAACAAAAAAATAACCAGTCCCATAATCTCTATACTACACTTTGAACACTAGATTCTATGTATCACTAGAATATAGGTTTTAACACGCATTGGAAAGTACATTATAACATGAGGAAATTGGTTAACAAAAGAATGTTATGGAAGTTTGGAGGATGTCTAGTCAACTACCTATTTGAATTTTTCCAAATTTCTATCCAATATTATTTGCGAAATTTTGTCTATATAGAGTTTCTACAATCATTTCTTTTTACAAAAAAGAAATAAATTGAAAAAGAGAGAGAAAGACGGAATAAAATGACTAAGAATAAAAGAGAGTAGAATAGTTTACCATATATGCACTGACTTGCAAATAAAAATGTAAACCAGTGTAGAACAAGGAGCACTTTTTTGCAACCCATGATGGAAACTGGTGTGCACATAACATAGGAAGAAATGGAGAAGTAAAAAATGTTTCATTGGGGTTGAGCCAGACTCTAGAGTCTTGGTTCATGGAGGAGAGTAAGTGCATGACAAAAAACTAAATTTACAAACCTTAAATTCAATGATGTCATCATCGCCCCTAAGAATCAGTCAAGCACATTACCCGGTACTGGTATCGTTAATAAATCTAAATATATACATATTAATAGCATTGGCCATGGAATTCATAAACATACTCTCGTAATGCTCCTTGTACATGTCTACCAAACGAGGGCCAATGCCTTTCCTGTAATAATCCCAGTCGATGGGCTCAGGTTCCTGCAGAATGTAATAAACAACTAAGCAATGCCTGAAAATGATAACTTAAAAAAACGAAAAAAATAATCAACTACAACAAGCATCTAACTAGTTAGTTTATCACACGATCAATGGGAATCGCAAAGCGCTCTCGTTCAAAACACGACGCAAAAGCGCTTGACCAAACATTCACATAACAGGGACCTTAATGTTCATAAAAATAATCCAAAAATCATTACTACAACTATTCGGAAGAAGAGACAGTATATGTTTATTTGGATTAGCTTATTAGGTTAAACGTGTATATTTAAAACAGAAAGCGAAATGAAATATAATCGCTGCAAATCAATTACGAGCCCTAATTATCCAATCGATCTAACATCTAAGAATTA